ACTATACACACAAACATGAAAACAACACTCTCTAGATGTCACTATACACACAAACATGAAAACAACACTCTCTAGATGTCACTATACACACAAACATGCAGTATACCCTTGAAAGTAGTCGGGGTAATCATCTTCATATTTTTGTAAATTTGTGTTTGTTCTTCGTTACCTAATTTGTGCTTAAAAAGCTGTTAATCTTTACAACATTAAACTATTTAATGTTATCTTAATCTTTATATTTACTTTGTCTTAAGTAATTTCTCTATTATAAATTAGAAGTAAAACAACAGTTAACTATCTACATGTTAGATCTTAATTCTCTAGAAGTATGCTTACATACATGATAAAGAGGAACCCAACTTGATTTTGACCTTTAAAAATGCTTAATGAACTGGTGTATTATGTGCATTAAAATAAAAATTTGCTTTATGTCAACTATGTATAATAAAATATTAGCATGAGTGAATATTAAAAACAAAAAATGTAACTTCAAACTGGATATGTTTTTTTTTCTTCATCTTTTTTAATTTTACACAGAAAACGAGCAATTTCACCCAATTTTTTTTGGTCAGTTCTTAACGATGAGTGTTATCACTGTTATGAAGGCAAAAACTGAAAATTACTCAATAATGAGTGCCATAAAAAAAAAGTTGGTAAACTGAGTGTCAGCTGACAAACAACTTTCTCAAACTTAACTATAGTTTATATTTTATTTTGAAACTAAAGTTATGGTGAAATTCAAAACTGAAATTTAAGGATGTGTAAGTTGATTTCTTTTTTTACATGTGGTGAAAAAATGCATAAAATACAAATGTAAAAACTGCTCAGAAGAAGTACACACAGGAAGATATTGCAAGATAAAAAAAAAATGCTATCCTGTAGCTATTTGCATTACATAATTAATATTAAGATGGATCAAAGTTTGAAAAGAAAAAAGCAGTATTGGACTTCAAAAGAAATACAATAAAACTATAACTTAACAATAAAAGGAATCATTTCTAAATCTACTCTTTAAACACAGAAAATACTTGATTTCTTTTTTGGCACTAATTTCAGTTGTTGGTTAAGAGAAGTTACATATTCTACAGTGTAGAGAATCATCTTGTGAAATTTATAATGAAAGTGAGAGAGAGAAAAACTAAGCAAAATACAAAGGAACAAAGAAGTTTCCTCTGCAGCACAATTTCTTCTTTATGGATCCCTGTTGAAGTAAGTATTTACAAATGTTTTCTTTATGCAAAAGATTGTGAACTGATTTCCAAATGTAGAAAGAAGAGGTACTTAAGATAATTTCAGTGATACATTGGATTACAAAGAATGTAAAATCCATGTTTTTTGAATGTCATAGAAAAATAAGTGAACATGCCAACATCACAGACCCTTAAAGTAATGGTCTTTCTCAGCCACTTACAAGTAAAATAAGCTTCCAAATTTACAAAAAAGAACTTGTAGATCTCAATATATATATATGAGGTCAGTCTAAACCAGGGCCTGGGTAAGAGCTTAGGCTTATCTTATTTCCTTAATTTATATTTACATTAAAAAAAATATACACTTTTTTTTTAAAATTCAGTTCAATTATTAAAGAATATATATATAGTTTTCAATGCAAATTATAAGTGTTAAGAGGTTACAAAAGAGAACAGCTATATGGGTTACATGACAGGCGAGTATTGAGTAAACTTCTTTATAAAATGTTTCGTTTTAAGCACACTAAATGTTGAAATGCATGGACAGGACTTTGGTTTTAATGACTGCTATCATTACAAGAAGAATTTGAATACTACTTAAACTTTAAATAGTACATCTATAATTACAGACTATGAAATGTTGTGATGTTACATTTGAAAATAACTTCAACACTATTGAAATATGTTATTGCCTCTTTACATGTTCTTTAAACTTTAACAATCATTATAATATAACAATTTCTAAATGCATGTGTGTTATGGTAACACACCTTAAGCTATCTCTTTTAAATCATGATCTTTAGAACTTAAGTACATTTTTTGTAACAAACGTTATTTGGCAAAATCACCGTTTTAGTTAGAACAAAATATATTGCACCTTCTTTCTGGACAAGACAAGTTTATCTAATTAATTAATATTAACTTTTGATAAGAGCAGTATATCCACTCAGGTCAAAAATAAAAATGAACCGACTAATGAGTATAGCTAATTAAATACACTGTTTCATCCATTGAATACCCTAGGTTTACCAACATAATTATTTGTATACATACATGCCTTTAATTAAGTTTATGAAAGGTTTGACGGCTTTATTGCTGATTTACTAGTCAAGCCAATGGAAAGTTTCAGTCTCCATTAAAAAGTTGTTTTAAAATTAATAATTAAATTCAAGTCCAGACTTTACAGTTTAGCCCATCAAGCTTCAATAACATCTGGTCAAATTTCTGTCTTCAATAAAATCATAAATATAGTTTAAGAAAACTTTACCTTCAAAATGCTTTAGACAAAAATATTGGCAGGAAAAAACATCTAACTGCCAAAACCATCTTGTTAGAGAACTAACAATTCAGACAAGAAGTATATCCAACTCCAGAAGTCTTCTTGATTGAGAACTAACAATTCAGACAAGAAGTATATCCAACTCCAGAAGTCTTCTTGATTGAGAACTAACAATTCAGACAAGAAGTATATCTAACTCCAGAAGTCATCTTGATGGAGAACTAACAATTCAGACAAGAAGTATATCTAACTCCAGAAGTCTTCTTGATTGAGAACTAACAATTCAGACAAGAAGTATATCCAACTCAAGAAGTCATCTTGATGGAGAACTAACAATTCAGACATGAAGTATATCCAACTCCAGAAGTCATCTTGATGGAGAACTAACACTTCAGATAGGGAAAATATCTAACTCCAAAACCATCTTCTTAGAGAGCTAACACTTTATACAGGGAAAATATCTGACTCCAAAACTTTTGTTGGTAGAGAACTAACAATTCAGACAGTGAACATTTCTAGCTTCAAAAGTCATCAGAAAATTGGAGATTGAGCAATGAAAAATTGTTGGCTTGAGAAGTCAAAGAATTAAGAGCCAGGTATTGGAAAACTTCTAACTTTAAAATTCTTCAAAATACATCTTCATAGAGAATCAAAAATTCAATCATAATGCAGATCTCTAGCTGCAATGCTTGAGAATTCAACCGTGAAAAAAAAAGCTTTTATGAACACCCTTTTCAGAAATGTATACAAAAGCCATAACAAAATAATAAAGGTTTTTCAAACTCATATTCTTAAAGAAACTAACAGTGAAGGGGGTGGAACAAAAACACTTGTTAAGGTTTTATCATAGAACTTTTTAGCTTTTACAAATTTGAGTTTTCTACATAAATAAAGGGCCACAAAAAGTCAAGGTTCTACATTAGAACTTTTTCAGTATATGAAGCAGTCAACAACATACATGATGAGTTAAGTATGAGATATCTCAAGTTCCATTTAACTCATGCCAGTCATTTAATTTACATTTCTAGAAAAATTTTCTTGTGAAATTAACACATGTAAAGGTAAAGGCTGTCTGTCAGGAATTTTTTTTACAGTTTGATACATTGTGGTCAATATCTATAAAAGTTCTTTTGACTGAGGTACATGTTTAAAAAGTGCATATGGGTGTATATACAGAAATGGGATTATTTTATTATATTCATTGAGCTATTCTACTCACGAAAGATCTTAAGAACTCCTTTCACCTTTTACTTCAAGACACAAACACAAATTTTTTTTTCTCACTTTTAAGTTTCTTCCTTCTGCTTTCTCTAATATTTTTTTTACTTCCCATTTTGTGATAAAACAATTATAATTTTTAATTTTTTGCCATTCCTTTCAAACTAAAAACTCTTATTATCCATATCTATCATGAAAAGTGTCAATGTAATATTTCACTCTTTTTCCCAATTCCTCCTTATTGTTAAACACAATGCACAAAGAAAAGGGAACTCACCTTTCTTGGTGTTCTGTTCCATATAGTCACTGTATGTCCAGAGTTCAGGAGATTTTTCACTATTCCTTGACCCATTATTCCCAACCCAAGGAATCCAAACTTTAACTCTGAGGCTTTCACATTCTTTTGCTTTAAGGTATCGGATACATTTTCTACATCTAAAGGTGGTGTTACCTGTAATGTGTCAAATCATGGTTGATCTGTTAATACACTAAATTAATATATATATATTTTTTTGTATAAAGTAACCATTTTTTTATGTCATAGTTTAATAGTATATTATTACAGATAGTCAAAAATAAGCTTCTATATATTTGTGTATATTGTGCCAGTGAATTTCACAGGTTTTTGCTTAGTTAACACACAGTTACGTACGTTGATGTTGTATTGAAGGCTGAACTTCTATATTTCAAACATAATCATAGTTGCTTTTGGACAACCGTGAAAGGAGGACTAACAAGATCTGTGACCAAAGTCGGTATAAGAGTTAGTATCCAAGTAGTATCTCATTACAATACATGAGAAAAATTGAAATTCCAGTCTATAGGGTCAACAGAAACAAAATGGCAGACATTTAGCATATGCAAGTACAATAATTAAAGACAAGTAATCTTACTACTGAAACATATCAGCACTTTCTTCTCATTTACCGTAATATCAAATACTCAGTTTTGAGTGTTTGAATTAGTTTTTAAGAAAAAACATCTTCTTACAGTGTTTAATAACATCAAAACATTTAAGAAACATAAGTTGAAGATGGCTTGAAATACAAGATCCTAGATCAAGAAGACTGTGAATGTCCTATAAGAGGTTCTCTAATGTATGAAATTAATTTTCACTGCATCTGGGAATACCTTTGGGGTCGTAAAGGTCACTCTGAATGACTACTTTGTTATTGATCTTAACAATAACTACTGTTTTTTACTTCACACTTAATGAAGCTATTGAAGTTTAATATTGTATGAATATATAGATAAAAACAATGTGGTGAAGGCATTTTGAAGTAGAGTCTTCAAGCATCTACCCCTGCCTTAACATGAACAAGTTATTTAGAAGACAATACTTTGCTTAATATAAAAAGGTCAAACATGATATGAAAGAAGAGTCTTTTAGTTACAAAAGAAGTTGCTTTTAGAATGGTATATCAAAATACAAGCACTCAAATTTGATTGATAAAAGAATCTGACATTTCACACGCATACAAACACAAAGAAAGAACAACACTATTTAAAATAAAAAGTAGAAATCAAACACCAGTTAGAAAGCTGAGAGAAACCAGCATCAACTTTGGTTGAATATAAATAAGTGGCTACTATTTCTAAGAATTATAACTGCTAAAATATAGTTGTGTTCCTGATGATACTATGCAAATGAATATTTCAATTACTTTAGCTGTTTGGAAAGTTTATGGTTTATTTGTAAATTTCTTCCAATTAAATACCAAAAAAAAAAAAAGATTCATCATATATATAACACTTGTCATTACTTGGTATTTAATATGTACAAATTCAGTGTTGAGTTACTAATGTTACACATATCTGTCTTCAGTCAAGATCACCAAAAGATGTAAAACATAGCAATGGGTTCCTGACATTGGTGATGAAGTGAAGAGAGTTACTTAAACAACAGTTTACATTTAAAGAAAAATCACAGCAAGCAGTCATAAACTCATACTTATCATAGAATTAGTTTTCAATTATTTGAAAATAAAAGTTCTTTAAATGATTTGTAATAGCTAAAAAGGACCGAAAAGCTGTTGATTATAGACATTCAAAAATTAGTAGTGACAAGAAGAAAACATGTGACCATACTTACTGGTCGATTCATGTACGATGGTCTTGAAAGCAGGCCGGTGTATTTACTAGGAGATGAATTAACATGAGTATAATAGTTTTCTACTGGTGATGCTGATGAAGATGAGAGCTGAAATGCTGAACTTGATGCTTCCCCAGCCATTTGTGGTGTGACGGTAGGACCTCGTTTTTTTTTTGTTGAAGCAGAACTTGTGTTACTACTATCTGACAAAGCTCTTTTCTGTCTTGGTTTTTTAGATGAAGTGGATTTTTCCTAAACAGATTAAAAGTTCAGATGAAAGGATTGGTTTTGGTGAGAGTCTAAAATGGCCCATGTCAGACTTGCATAAAAATTTGTACGAAAATAGTGATTGATATCATAGGTCATTTACGACATTTATATCCTTACCATGTATAATTCTCAAAGTAGTGACCACACACCTGTTATTCAGATATATTTTTAATGTTAATTTCTTCTGAAATAATTACAGAAATAAATTTATACATCTATTAGGAATTCTGATGAAATACATCGGCTCATATAGCGAGAGACAGAGGTATGTATATTACTATTATATATATCTATATATATAGCCCATATGATAAAGTGGGCAGACAAAATATCACAACTAGTAGAGCAAATAATAGATTGGGCTTAACATATATTTTTAGTATTTTAAACAGCTTGTTGACTGAATAATTCACAGGAATAAATTAGTAGTGTCAATACTACAACACTCTTGAGTTCCTATATAAGTATAGGTTTACTGTGGTGGATAAAATACATTTGGAAATACCATACATATCACATACATTCCACCAGTATATGAAGCCCATTCTTGTTCCAGAGTTACTGATATAACTCCACAAGAAGTGATAGATTGAATAACAGATCGGGCTTCATAGTTATTTTCAAACCTTAGCTTCATTTAACCTGCTCAGCACTAAAAGGAATATATACTAAGCATGTCAGAACAATCCCTGTTCTTATCAGCTGCATCATGTACAACACTGTGTGATGTTGGAAACAACAGGGATGTGTCCTGGTGATGGTACCATCAAACAGGGGCAACATGAACACAGAATTTCGCTGTACTTATCCAAAGCAACATTACTGGGTCATAGGAGGACTTTTGATGTCTGAGTGTATATAATAAACACATAACTGGGTCATAGGAGGACTTATGATGTCTGAGTGTATATAATAAACACACATTACTGGGTCATAGGAGGACTTCTGATGTATATAATAAACACACATTACTGGGTCATAGGAGGACTTCTGATGTCTGAGTGTATATAATAAACACACTTTACTTGGTTATAGGAGGACTTCTGACATCTGAGAGTATATAATAAACACACATTACTTGGTTATAGGAGGAATTCTGACATCTGATGTATATAATAAACACACTTTACTGGGTTATAGGAGGACTTCTGACATCTGAGAGTATATAATAAACACACATTACTGGGTCATGGGAGGACTTCTGATGTCTGAGTGTATATAATAAACACACTTTACTTGGTTATAGGAGGAACTTCTGATGTCTGAGTGTATATAATAAACACACATTACTGGGTCATAGGAGGAACTTCTGATGTCTGAGTGTATATAATAAACACACATTACTGGGTCATGGGAGGACTTTTGACGTCTGAGAGTATATACTAAACACACATTACTTGGTCATAGGAGGACTTCTGATGTCTGAGTGTATATAATAAACACACATTACTTGGTCATAGGAGGACTTCTGATGTATATAATAAACACTAAGGTTAAATCACAAAAGTAGTTCTTCCCCAAGTATGAAGGGAATTCAGGAAATGCATCAAAAATCAAATGGAACTAAACAGCTCACTGTGAGGCTAGCTTCTTTTATTTTCTGTGCAAGTCTTTCTCTCTCCTCCTGTGTGTTGGTCAAGCATTGTATCCTATGTAATCTCCAATGTGTGAAATTTATGGGTTAGACATGAGTTTGCCCAAGGCTCTCGATAATTTTTAATTAACTCTCCCATTCAGAGCTCCAACAACCTATATGACATTGGTCACTAGTCTGGTATGGTTTTCTTCCTCTGCTGAATGCTGCTTTTGCTCCTTAACCTGTAATTTCAATTTCAAAACTTAATCTTTCAACAATTCAATATTACGATGAAAACCCTAATCAACAATAAATGAATCTCCCATTTTAAGCCTTTCTTTCAGTTGTTATATGTCTTATGACATCACTGTTCTTGACCTCATCAATATAGGGTCCAAAGATGTTGAGGATAATTCCACCTGTACCCACATACACCATCAGTAAGAGCAAATGCTTGTGGGTAAGTGGTCTTGTGTGACTTGAAATGAAAGCCTTTCTCAGTACATGTTGGAATCTGGGCTACTGAAGAGCAAAGATATTTGTGGCACCCTTGATTGTTATGTCATTACTGACCTGAAACATACTACATATAACTTTCACAAAGTTTTCTTACATTTCCTTAATAGTTATTATTGCCTAAAGTTGCAGGATTACCAAAATCTATGCTATGCAACCACTGGTGATATGACTCTTCCAGTTTGCAGTTACTGCAACAGGCCTGTTCTATTGAAGTGCATCAGGTGTCATAGGCAGCTTGTGCAACTTATCCCACTGTATTTCCCAGATACACAATGTTTATCACTGGTGATATTATCCACCCACAGTATGTAGTAACGGCAACAGGCCTACTTTATCGAACTGTGTTGCACCAGCTGTAACAGGCATATTAGGCAATTAACCCTACTGTATTTAATTCCCAGACATGTGCCTTTTAATATAATATTATAATGCATACTCTGAGGTGGCAAAACAGTACTTCAATCTAGAAACAAAGACATTCATGCAATCTCATAACAATCATCATCACCTCTTACTGTTACAAACAAGTATTTGTTATGGTAACAATTTATTGCAAGTTTGATGTTTTTTGGTTGAATATAGAGGAACCAGGTAACTGAAAATCTGTAGATATCTTTCCATCCTCAGATTATTCCTGTTAATGACTTCTGCTCTTACAGAAGTCCAGCCTCATGTTGTAGACAAAGATTTCTTACATGTGACACATTCATGTTTCACAGAATGAGCCTTATATTCCATAAGTTTTATCTGACTCGTATCTTGGACTGGATCAGCCTTTTTACCATAGCTGGGGTAACTTAAACCATGTCTCTCTTCTCTAGCTTTGCACAGACTTTCTTCATAGGTTTCAATAGTTCTCTCCAACACCACAAGTGTAATTTTGGTATGTCCATGGCAATATAAGGATCTGGCACCTTCCAAGGATCACCATATACCACAGATGTTATTTCAGGGCTGCTGTTAACCTGGAGCATTTTGCCATTAAATATATGTGTTGGGTCCAACAATTTGTGGTCTGTTTTTGCTTTAACATTTCAAGGTCCCTGTTTCAATCACATGGGGAAAGATGTGACTGCCCCTGTGACACTTGGGATTAAAGGAGCTCTCTCTGGAGTTAAATGCTGTAGTAAACAGTAGTAATCAATAAAATTCCTTGTGACATAGTTCAGAGTGAATAAGACGTTTTTTAAAGTCATGTTAGTGTTGTATTTCATGGTTCAGAGTGACACTTGGGATTAAAGGAGCTCTCTCTGGAGTTAAATGCTGTTGTAAACAGTAGTAATCAATAAAATTCCTCGTGACAAAAAACTGCATTCCTTGATACAGGTTTACTTAAGTGTTGTATACTTTCCACACAGGTTTTGCAACCCTTGTAATTTTGAAAAATCAGAGTTCGAATGTACCATAAACCAACATATCCATTCTCACAATATTCAATTCCACAGCTCACAGAAAACTACTCCAAATAGGGTAAAGTTAGGTTTCTTATGGCTGCTGCGGTGAAGTACGATCAACATGATCAGTACAAAACTTTTAGCTACCGTTTAGTTTCTATATTATTGATATATACTAAATAAAACCACAGTTTCATTCCCTTTTATTATTTGCAATGCAGTTGGTCATTTTAGGCCTTTAATGATACCTATTCTTAACCTTTAATATTTCACCACTGAACTACAGAATGAGGATTATACTTAATATTGGTATAATGCTAATTACTATCATGACTAATGACCCTTGGTTATTTCTAGTAAACTGCAGAAAGAGGATTCAAGAATGTATTCTTAATGTTTCTAATTACTTTCACAAATAATAACATCAGTTAAATTTAGATACAAATTTCTATTATTTTTAATACAACTGAAAAATGTTACACTCTACTTATTATACTGTGGTACAGATGATGAAAGTTATTGAAACTACAAACAGAAAAATTATCAATCCCCCCTTATTCCCCAATAAAACAAAACTACTATGCCTAAAAAACTTACAAAATTGATTTGTTTTCCTCATTTATTGATGCAGTTATTTACTCAAAGTTTACAGTTTATACATATACAAATATATATAACAACCTCAAATTGGACTTTAGCCAAAATGCTGATTAAGTTTTCTGTCCTAAATATTATTTTTTTTCTGCCAAGTTTTGACTGTGTTGTAGTTATGCTTGTATATTTAACTATATCCTGATAAAAATTTGGAAGGATGGAATTCCTGAGAATCATCAATCTGTAAAATAACTAAAACTTAAAATTACCTCAATTCTCCTGTTGACTAAGGCTAATATACATAAATGAGTATATAAGGGTATTTATAAATATGGCTACATTTTAAACTCAAAACACTGGTTAAATCTCATAGCTTTCACAAATTTCTTGTTTCTAAAAGTAAAAAAAAAATGTAAGTTACATTTGGCCTAGCCTTGCAACATGTTACAAGTCATATGTTACAATGGCTTCTTAAAACAGTTAAAATTCAGTGTACTCAGATCACAGTGTACACATATCAACTTCTGAAAAAAATGGCATTGAGTGGCCTTAGTGCTTAAAAGTTTCATTTTAATTAATTGTAGAATTATTTAAATCAAGATCATATAATATGCAACAGTGTACAAATAATAATGTATAAAGTAAAATAATAACTACAAAAACAACACTTTATATAATCATAAGTATTACTTAATATGAAATTCAAGAAAATTATAAAATAAATCTATAAACTTACTTTTATTTTTTGTGGCTGTACGTCTTTGCCATTTTGTTCTTTTTTCTCAAATGTGAGGTTTGTTTCAATTCTTGGTGACTTAAGCTACATAAACAACCAAGAAATATCAAAATGATTAAATTGTTTTGTAAATAACCTAACTCCTTTATTAAGTTTTACTTGCTATTTATGTGACTAAGATAAAATCCTGTATTCCGTTATTGTGTTTTACTTGACTGAGGTAAAATCAAGTGGTTTCTTATTGAGTTTTTACTTGCTATTCACTTGACCTAAGTAAAATGAAGTGGTTTCTTATCGAGTTTTATTTGCTATTCACTTGACCTAAGTAATATCAAGCAGTTCCTTATCGAGTTATATGCTATTACTTGTTCAAGGTAAAATTAAGTTGCTTTGAAGACTAGAAGACATGATTCTATTTCTGAAGAACGTTAGAACATAACTCTAACCATAACATTTTATCCACTGCCAATCGGCAACAACTCGCATGGAAAGGAAGAGGTGATGATTGTTTTTCTATACTTATAACTCCTTCACCCTGACACAGGGTACTGACTCTTATCTTAATACTTAATATGTTTATTGAAAATATAATCAAGAACAGATCAAACTAAACTTACAAGACAACAACAACAAAAAGACGAATGAAACTACAAATAAATTGGGTACCCGTGTTTAATGACAAGACAGAAACCTCAAAATACGGTACATAGCCAACTCATCCACAGTTCTGAGAAGATTTGGGATAAACAAAGCCTGACTTGCACATCATCTGCTTTTGGTCTGACTGACTAACTCTTTATTTCCCGAAGGAATGAAAGTTTAACTCTCTGTATACGAGCTTGGTCATTGTGACCAATCCTTTAACCATCATGTGACTGTGAAACTATGCATACTATAACTTTTAATGTAGTAGGTGCATGTTCACAAAATTTAACAAGCTTTTAGTAAACATTACAAGTTATTATTGTTTTTTTGTGAATTTATACAGTTGTAGCCTAAGTAGTCTGAGTGCAAAATGATTTTCATGTTCAGATAAAAAATAATTATTTCATCTTACAATTTCAAGTTTCATTTTCATAATCTCTAGAATCTCCCAAATGAATATCAAGTTTTTTAAATAAAGCTTTGTATTTTATCTGCAGTGTTCTCTACCCTAACACTATATGGACTTGGTCTATTTTACTAACCACCACAAAAAATATGTGAAATAAATCTAAATTACCCCTTTTTTTTAATTCCTAGAATGACTGCAGATTGTAATAGAAAACTACAATTATTTATCCTAAATATGTTCAGGCTCGTAACATCTGTTTTTATTTAATTCTATAGTTTTATAACTTTTTGAACCATATCTAACAACTAAACATGTGTAACAAAGCTATAAATGCCTGATAAGCAAATAGCTAAAGTTATGGTAAAACAAGGTATTGAATTATGTAATGCATTTACAGTTTGCATGCACACTCAGAAGTTCTTAGTTTTTACAGTTTTATTGCAATAAATAAAAGAAATATATAAAAACAAGAAATTTAGTACTTACATGTGGGTCTTATACTTTTTTTTTGCAGTTAAAGTCTTGATAAAACTTAACCCTAATGTTTGGTAGGACCACAAAATAATAATACTCACAAAGAATACAATATCCTATAACTATTAGAATTTAATTGGCTTTCTAATTAACTTATATATATATGTGTTAAAATATTCCCCATACTTGGTTGAGGCGAACTTGGTGATATCAGTTTTGAATAATTCAAAAGCTCTCACGAGAACAAGTTAGCCTATTACATAATTCAACAAATTAAAACATTCTCTTTCTATTGGTTTTTTGATAATGTGTTAGCAAACATCAGAGATAATTATTGACATGTTTTGAAAGACATTATGTGATGGAAGAACATGGCATGCGAGTTTGACTTTTTGGTTTACATTTATAAATAAAGATTCAGGTATAAACTTAGATTATATCTTAGCAACATTTATAAACTCAGAAGCTTAAACAGTGATGGAAAGAATATCTAAATTGGGCAACTTGGAGTAAACAAATGTCATAATATAAAGAAGTGAAAATTGAGAATTTATTTAAATATATCCTTTTGAAATTAAGAAATCAACTTGCATAATATTAAGATCTGTTTTATTAACTACATTTTGATGCCAAGTTTATTGGAATACATTGATGATAAAGTAGTTTAACTGAATTTTGAATGTAACTTTAAAAAGGTTGTGACGTGCACTTTGATCTAACTGTATCCATAGGGTTAACAATCACTTACGATATTACAATGAAAAGTTAAATGATTTAGGATTATCACATATTCCGAACTATTAAAATTTGATGGTTAAGACAGTATTAAAAGAATTAGATATTGCTTAAATGATTATTGAAACATATAACTCACTGTTTAAGGTGTATGTGTTTAAAAGTTTCATGATTCTCACCAAGTCCTGGGAAATATGACTAAAGATACTCACCTCAGGGTGACTTTTCACATACTCTTCAGCTTCTCCAACTGCATCTTTGAAAGTTAATAACCTGTTTTTCTGCATAAACTCCTCCCGAAACTCATGATATGGCTTTATATTTTCTTCAAGTATCCAAGCACTTGTAAAACAAAAACAGTACAACAAACTGTAGAACAAACCACTGTAAACGCATCATGATAAGCAAATAAGTACTTTATTGAGTTTATTTTTCTGCTTCTCTTAAGTCTGAAAAAACAAAACAAAAAAACTCTTGTGTTCACAGTTTGTAGTGGAGTGTACTGTCTGATGACAGGTACAAGATTTTTCTTGTATGAAGACCCTTAGGAAGGAATTTCTATCCAGTTTTCAATGCTAAAAGTCCTCTGGAGATACAAACTAGCTATCTGGAAAAACGTCGCTATTAACCTTTCATTGGGAACTCTTCTTTTCAGTTGTTAATTAAACTGAGGTGACTTAAACTGCCACTAGCTGTACTTTTTGAAATGAGGGACTATTACTTTAAAACCTTATTTTTCTATTCTCATCTGACTCATGTGGCACTACACTAAAATTTTCTTTTTTTGATGGGTGTATTATTATTATTATTATT